ATTCTTTTTTTTTTTTTTATTTCTTATGGAATACTGGACAGATGGAGTTTTTGGTGTGCAGTTTTACTGGGAATTGTCATAGCTTTGTTGGGAATTGCATTTTAAAAGATCTAGTTTTTGTTTTTATGCTTGGAACTTTAAGGAAAATTCATGCTTAGGATCCTTTAGAATTGCTGGCTTTTATTTATATATTTATTTTTACTATGAACTTGGTTGATGAATGTCCGAAGTGCGCAGAGCTCTAATCTAGACAAAGAAGAAGCTCAAATATAAGATAGATTTCATTTGCATCACTACATCATTCCCAGAATTCCTTTTGCAGAGTTTTCATCACTTAACTATTATTCTAAAATGTTGAAAATAGTCAGAATAAAGAGCGAGTAGATGTGTCTAAACCTCTGACTGATCGTGTTCGAGGATAGATTAATAAAACATTAACGTTTAGCATTGATCCGGGGAGATTTCTGCATCTGGACTGGTTTTTCTGAAAGAACCTGTGATGCATTGAGTAAATACGGTAGTAAATATTTGATCTAGATAAGCTTAATGAATGATTCCATGTTGATGGTGTTAATTAGACACTTAGGAACTTGTGTTAAAATGCAAGATTGAGTTTAATCTAATTTGTTAGATTTTTTCTTATTCTCATGTAAATCTGAAACTTTAAAGGGAAGTCCATGATCTTTCAATCTAAAGAATGTTTTGTCAGGTGATCATGAAATATGTGCGATGTGGTGGTTTTATTCTGATTATTTAATACGGCTGAATCATCGTAATAATTTTTAGGGTCAGGATAGATAGAAATACCTCCTTAATGTAACAATAACTGAATATTTAATCTTGTTACAGTGTAGAAGAGGGTATTAAAGTGCAAATCTGGTTCAGGCTGGTAAATGTAAGTGTTCAGTGTTGAAGATGAATGGAAGAGAATTTCATTTGGCCACTGAGTGGCAGAGAAGTTCAGTAAGATCCATAAATAAAGTCTGTGTTCAATTATGAGTTACTTTGGTTTTACAGACAGACGGTTCCTCGGTTCAAC